AACAAAATATACATACTTTTTAAAAGATAATACACATAATCTAACATAATACATAATAAACATAACTTTTAACATAATACACATCAACTCTTAACATAATACACAAAAATTTTCTGATTCGTTGTACATAATTGTATAAAATAATGTACATAATTGTATAAAAATACACATAACTGTATGAACCAATACACATAACGTTGTGAACGAATACACATAACGTTGTGAACGAATACACATAATCTCAGCAACTTCCTACCGCGCCTCCCAACACGACTCCAAAACGACGTCGTTTTGGGAGGCGCGCGGCGCACAGTGCTATGTGCGCCGTGGTGTAGGATATAACGATTGCTATAAGCTAGGAGCTGATAGCTGAAAATGAGCTGAAAGCTGAAAAGCTATAAGCTCGGAGCTGAAAATTGAAGAGCTGTTAAGCTAGCTGTTATGATTGAAAGTGTTTGGTAAAATTAGCTTTTTGGTAAACTGATAAATGTAAAAAGACTAAAAAGGACATCTTCATAAAATTTAAATTAATTTGTTTACATATTAAAATTTAACAGTTTGTCTTCCAAAAAAAAAGTAAACATTTTTTAAAATAAAACTATTAGCATGATCATGATCTAGCATCCCATAATGAAGTAGAAATATTGTCATTGGGTTGAAACCATATTGCTAATTTAAAAATAATAATAATAATAATAATAATAATAATAATAATAATAATAATAATAAGCTAAAGATGAAGGGATTGACGTGAAAGTTGGGATAGGGGAAGAGAAAGGGTTTTAATTCATAAGGTTAAAATATGTCATTACTTTAAAATAATAAGGGTAAAGATGAAAAAAAGTTAGGAAGCTAGTAGCTTATTTTCAAAAGCTACCTAAAGTAGCGTTCCAAAATAAGCTTTTATTTTAAGCTAGGAGCTTATTTTGGGAACATTACCAAACAGAGCTTATAGCTTATTAGTAGCTTAAAATAAGCTATAAGCTCCTAGCTTAGCGTTGCCAAACAGAGCCTTAGTAACAATATAAATGCTATGTTTGGCAAATTTAGCTGGAGAGGTAGCTGAAAGCTAAAAAGGAGCAGAAAGTTGAAAAACTATAAGTTAGGAGCTAAAAACTGAAAAGCGATTAAGCTAGCTGTTGTGCTTGGAAGTGTTTGGTAAAATTAGCTTTTTGATAAGCTGATAAATGTAAAAAGACAAAAAAAGATATTTCATAAAATTTAAACATATTAAAATTTAACATTTCGTCTTCAAAAAAAAAATAACATTTTGAAATAAAACTATTAGCATAATCATGACCTAACATCCTATAATGAAGTAGTAATATTATTGCGAATCTCCTTCATCTAATAATAATAATAATAATAATAATAATAATAATAATAATAATAATAATAATAATAATAATAATAATAATAATAATATTTGTGGTGAAACTTGCGGATAAAGGAGAAGAGAAAATGGTTTTAATTGAGAGGTAAATGATGTCATTTCTTTAAAATAATAAGGACAAAATTGAAAAAAAAAAAGAAGAAGAAGTTAAGAAGCTAGTAGCTTATTTTGAAACGCTATCTAAAGTAATGTTCCAAAATAAGCTCTTATTTTAAGCTACGAGTTTATTTTGATTAACATTACCAAACATAGCTTATAGCTTATTAGTAGTTTAAAATAAGCTATAAGCTCCTAAATAAGCTCTGCCAAACAGACTCAAAATACACAAAATACACCCAACAATAATATAAAATGCACCTAACGATATCATTAGTTGCATGCACTGAGTATGAAAATTATTCAACTCAAAGTTCACCTTTTAAAATTTATGATATTTTTTTAAAAAATTTGGTTTAGGGGTTCGCTTTTATGTATTTAAGAGTTTAGTTTTAGATTTAGTTTTCTAGATTTATCAATAGATATACTATGTAGTTTAATGGAGTTTGGGGTGACGAGGGAAACCTACGAGGGTGTGTATTGATGAGTAAACTCCGCGTTATGATCTTAGTTGACAAATGACCACATAGAGGTAAATTACAATTGGTTGCTCAATATTGATCGGCTCAAACCAAGAAGGCCAATTAGATCATTCTCGTTGAGAGTTAAACTTATAATTAATCTAGTTAACAAATTGACCAACTTAGATGGATTTACCCTATACTATACATGTAAAGAGTTTAAATTAAGAATTTAAGAGAGCGTTTAAATTATTAGGAAAATTTTATGAATTTTATTAAAGTCTATGAAAATCTATATGTCAAACATACTTTTATTGACTTTTGAATACTTTTTCGTTTAGTTTCTACAATATTCTTACCCAAAGACTGAATCCCCAGCCCTAAGGGCCCCCCACCTCCGACCCGACAGAGCTTGTGGGAGGATGTAAATTGTTGGTTTTTGGGTTTTCGGGCCCAAGGAGGTCCAACACAACCTTGGTCGGTGGATTCACCTTTCACATGATGTTTATAGAAAAATAAGTAGAAAAATATAACTCAATGCTTTTGTACGTGGAAACCGAAAGGTGAAAACCACGGGCCTTTTTGGGCGGTGACAAGCCTAATTCCACTATGTATTTTGTAGGTGTCTTTGTACATACTTGTAGGGCTATTCTCTACACAAAGTGTTGTGTTTCTAATAATATAGCAATAATAATATAAGAAGAGTGATGGAATGGTGTGGAAGAGTCCTTCCATTTGTATGGATGAGTGGTGGAGCCTTCTTGGTATGTTGTGGAATGAGGCCTTCTTGGGAGAGTAGTTGTGGGAGAGTGATAGTAGTCTTCAAGTGTGTAGGAAGAGTGCTTGGGAGAGTCCTCCTATGTGTGTATGAGTGAGTGGATCCCCCCCCCCCCCTTTCTTCTTGTCTTCTCCTCCTTTTATAGCTAGCCCATCCCCAAAAGTGTCCGTTGGACCATTTAGTAGGGTAGTTAATAGGTATTAACTTGGTTATTAGTGGGGTAATAAGTGGGAGACTTAATAGGTAGCCTTTATTTGGGGGTTATGGATGAGGTAGATAAATAGGACTTTTAAGGGTAGATAATTAGGAATAACGGCTAGTTAGTCCAACCCTCTACCCGTGCCGACCTCCGGGTCGAGCCGACTCCCGGGCCAACCGACTCCTCGGTTTGGCTCGTATCTCTTTTGGGCTTGCTCCATTTTCTTCTTGGGCTTCCCTTCTTTGTCTGGGCTTTATCTCTTTTCTTCTTGGGCCCCGAGCCCACGGGGTTCACACCCCATCATAAATCACGGTGACTCAATGGGTTAGTAGGCAGGGCCAAATGCCGGTGCGCACAAGGAATCTGCCCACTTTGAACATAATTCCCACACTGCCGCCGCCGAGGTTCGAACCTTGGTTTCTACAATATTCTAAAAATAGTACTCCGTATCATAGCTATTTATTAAGACGTGTAGTATTTCATTGTTGGTGCCTTGGTGAGAAATGATTTAATTGGTGATTTTAATTCATCGGTCTTGATTGATTTAGAGATTTTGAAATTTATTTTAGAATTGTAATCTTAATAATTGAATATTTTACTTCATAATTTCTTTTAAAAAAACTTAAATGTACTTTTTTTCTTTTTATACAAATAAAATTAATATATAAAAAATATATTATTACCCAACTCTAATTGAGATCTTTTAAATGACATTGATATTAATTTTTTTTTATATTTTTAAGTAACCTAAATTTACACTGACAGTGATTTAATATAATTATAGCTTAATTAAAAAAAACAAAAAAAAAACCAATATTTCTATTTTTTTAAATAAAAATATCATTTAAAATTTTTAATGATATATTTTTATACTATTAATTTTATTTTTTAAAAAAGTAATAAAAATGAATTTAGAGAGAAAATATTAATTTGTTAAAAATTCATAAGATGTTTTTATCTTAACTAGCACGAATACCAAAGTCCAAATTGAATACTATTTTACTTTTTTTAAATTTGTTTAGAAGTTTAAATCAAATAGTATTAGGACTTGTAAAAATTTGAATAGAATAATTCCAAAATTGTAAAGAAGTTTCTAAAAGTTTGGATCCCATACAACTTAGAATTCGGCAACCCTAACAAAGCTACATTGGTTTTGGCCCCAAAGCTTAATAAAGACGCTATTTATTGTTTCCTTTCATCTTCAAGAACCCAACCCAAAACTCTGAAATATAATAATCTGCAATATAATTCTGCTCCGATCACTTGCTTTTCTCTGTTTTCTTGCAATGGAGCTGATTCCCGGTCTTCCCAACGACTTAGCTTTTGAATGTCTTATTCGGATTTCGTTTGATCAGTTTCCCAAGGCTTCATCTGTATGTAGAGCATGGAAAGCTGTGATTAAGCAGCCGGAGTTCCTCCGGCGCCGGAAAGCTTCTGGTCTAACCCGACCTGTCATTGCCATCTGTCAGTCAGGTTTAAGCAGATCGGATACACTGGGTTTCCGGCTCACGCTATTCGACCCGGTGAAAAGGCGTTGGCATGATTTTCCGCCGATACCGGAGGTGGTGGAAAGGATGCCGGTGTTATGTCGCGTGGTCGGTATTGGGGCGGAGCTGGCGGTGATAGGGGGGTGCGATCCGGTGACACGGCGGTATCTGAATTCAGTTTTCATCTACAACTTCTTCTCCGCCACGTGGAGGCGCGGCGCCGATATGCCAGGCGAGGACCGCCTGTTCTTCGGATGTGCGGCGTCGGAGGATGGCGGGACAGTGGTGGTCGCCGGCGGACGGAGCTCGACCACTACCTTAGCGCTGAAATCAACGTTGGCGTACGACGTGGCAAGGGACACGTGGACGACGTTGACATGTCAATCGGGCGATACGTGTGCACGTGCGTGTTCCAATGTGGTGAGTTCCACGTCGCCAGTTGTCATACCACTGAAACACTCGACTTTGTCACCCGACAATGGCACGTAAGCGACCGTGACATATGGTTGCAGGCTAACGATGTGGAGATTGACAGGGTAATATACAAAATCAGGAAAAGATGTGACGTGGACAAAATCAGGAAAAGATGTGACGTGGTTGCATTAGAGGACGACACATGGGTGTTCGTCACGCGCGTCCCCGACTCTACATCCGACGTGACATATTTGACAGGGTGGCAGGGGAATATGATGGTGATAAATACAAAAGGTGGTGAAATTCATAGTGCTTATGTGCTAGAATTGAAGAGTAAAAAATGGACGAAAGTAAAAATCCCACGTAAGTATCGCGGTTATGTTCATTTTGGTTATTATTGTCATATACACATCTAAAAGGAACAATTTTATTTTGTCCTTAAATTAGCTTGATAAGCACTCTTCTTCTTCTACTACTTTTTATTTATTTATTTTTTAATATATTCATCTTAGATGATTGAGATTCAATATATGTTTTATTTATTTATTTTTTAATATATTCATCTTAGATGATTGAGATTCAATATATGTTTCACGATGTGTTATATTTCGTAGCAATAGATAGAGAAAATATAGAACATATACTACCTTGTAATCCAAAAGTAAAAATATGATGCATTTCAATTGTTTTAAGTTTCTATTAGAGATTTGTACAAAACAAAATGTGACATTGAAAGTTATGCATTACACGTGGCAAAAATAATTCTTGAGAATTAATTGTTGAAATTACCCAATAGTTGTTTGAATTGACTAAAGCGAAATAAGTAAAGTTAAGTAAGTCAAGTACTATATAATGCGATGACTTGTTACTATTAAAGTTGATATATAGATATTAAATTGGAGGTATTTCATAAAAATAAATAAATAATATACTTTTTAAAGTTTTAGTTCCTTATTAATTTTTTTTTTTAAAACTCATAATCTATTCATGCTATGCATGAAAAAAATTAGAGAAACTAAAATAATCTTTAAAAAAATAAAAACTTTATTGTATATATATTCACACCCACACAAAATGTACTATATATTTAGTATTTTGGGTTTCAAAATGTTTGAGAATTGGAATATATCTTCTTTTTTTTTTTTCATTAGAATTCAATTTCACTATAAATTTATACTAAATAGAATTTGTTAATAATTTTAAATCTATCTAAAAGTCTCACTCAAACTATTTTTTCGTTCATATGATTTATATTTAGAAATAAACACAATATTAGTGCAATTTCACTATAAATTTTCACTAAATAGAATTTGTTAATAATTTTAAATCAATTTAAAAGTCTCACTCAAACTATTTTTCCGTTCACATGCTTTATGTTTGGAAATAGACACAATATTATTAGTGCAATTTCACTATAAATATGCACCAAATAGAATTTGTTTATAATTTTAAATCTATTTAAAAGTCTCACCAAAACTATTTTTCCATTCACATGGTTTATGTTTGGAGATAGTCACAATATTAGTGCAATTTCACTATAAATTTGCACCTGCAAATAGGATTTGTTTATAATTTTAAACCTATTTAAAAGTCTCACCCAAACTATTTGTTCGTTCACATGCTTTATGTTTGGAGATAGACACAATATTAATGCATTATATTTTTATTGCTCAAAAAATTTAAATATTTAGAATGTCACAAAATTTGTCTATATATCGATTGTCTATTAATCAACTTTTTTGTCTATCAATTTTATTAAGTGATTTAAAAAAAAAAAATCTAATCATAATAGTCTATGATTAAAATATTTAATAATTTTTGAAATGAATTTTGATTAGCACATAATAAAGAGCTAAACAAAGCTCCAACACATGTCCAGCCAACCTGAGAAAGAAACTCCCTCCAACCGTGACAGCGGTAGCTAGCATAGACTCATTCCAAACCTGCTGGGAATAATCACACAAAATATATAAATGCATGCATGCATCATATCCTCATTTTGACCCCCACACTTTTGGACATGAGAGCTTCACATAGTTACATCCACCCTTTTTTGGTATAAATTTGTGGTGCTACAAAACACATCATTTAGTGCTCTCTAGAGGAAGGTCCGGCCTCCATTTGAGAGGGATGTTCAATTTTCAAAGTTTGGTCCAACTCTTAAAATCAACAGGTTGCAAATCAAGGTCCCCCGTTATGGTTCTATAACCATTTTTGACATTATAACATTTCTAGGATCTCCATACCAGTAGCATGAATCCTCATAATTCGGGCGCAATGGTAAACATGCATGTAATACGATCAATGTCACAAGGCAGGAAAATTTCTTAACAGAGATAAGTCCAAGTCTGCTTGGTGGGATCAATTAAACCTGTCATCCTAGTACCCAGGGACGGAGCCAAGAGGGGCAGCTGCTCCCCCTCCCCCCCACACCCCACCCCCATGCACCCCATATATAATTTTTGTATGTATATATGTATATATAGTACATGTGTTAGTATTAGTAAAATAAAACTAGGAATAAGGGTCAAATAGGCCACTGAACTGCACACGAAAATGCAATTAGGCCATTGAACTTAAAAAATCTACAATTGGGTCCCTAAACTAACCAATTTCATTCAATTTGTCCATTTTTCAAGTTTCTCAAGTTGCTAACAAGTTACCCCTCCACCTAGGATGCATATGTGTCATTGTTTTAAATATAATTTATTTTTAAATTAGTTTTTTTAATATTTAATAAATAAAAACTAAAATAATTTATTTTTAAATTAGTTTTTTAATGTTTAATAAATAAAAACTAAAACAATTTTTTTTGAATATAAAATAATTTGTTAAGACGGCTTGGATTTTATTTTCAAAAAAACAAATTATTTTAATTTTTATTTATTAAACATTAAAAAAAACTAATTTAAGATTTTTTTAAAAAAAATTAATTTTTTTTTAAATGCCACACATGCATCCTAGGTGGAGGGGTAACTTGTTAGCAACTTGAGAAACCTGAAAAATGGACAAATTGAATGAAATTGGTTAGTTTAGGGACCCAATTGTAGGTTTTTTAAGTTCAGTGGCCTAATTGCATTCTTGTGTGCAGTTCAATGGCCTATTTGACCCTTATTCCAATAAAACTATTAAATGTTAACAAGAGTTGGTTGAACACATGTTGAGTTATGATAAAGGATAGGGGATTGAATCTTGGCATTAACATAGTTTTATACTTGGCTCAATAACAGTTTTTTTAACTCCCTCCCTATGTTTTCAACACAGTTACGTTTTTAATACATTTTTAATATTTAATACACACACACACACACACACACACACACACACACACACACACACATATATATATATGTATGTATATATATATATAACATTCTTTTATATTAATAATGAGATGTGTTTTTTTATTTAAATTATCTCTTTTGTTTTAATGTTTCGCCTTTACTGAAAAAAATTCAGAATTCGTCCCTACTTCTTCGCCCCCTCAACCGAATTTCTTGCTCCGTCCCTGCTAGTACCACAGAGATAATGTGGCATTATGGTCTGAATCATCTTATTTGAATCACCATGTAACCAAGGATCACCCCAAGCCATAGTTTTAGCATCATTCACAATTCTATGTCTTACCCCACTACAAATAAGCTCATGAGCAACCATAATACTACTCCGACAAAAATAGGGACCGGACGATTGCCTAAAGAGACATCAATAAAAGAGGAGTTAGGAAAATACATTGCTTTATAAACACCTACAGCCAGTGAATGTGGCTTAGTAAGAAATCTCAACCCTTTGTTTCCCCAACATAGCTAAGTTAAAACCATGCAATCTTTAAAACCCAAAACCCCAAACTTCTCAGGGATACCCAAGCAATCCAATGAATACCTCTACCATTTGCACCACTAGAACCCCACCAAAACCGGTTCAACTTTATTCTCAATATATGAAAAAACAACACGTATATTCCTTCCTACAAACGCAGTGAAGCCCCGAATACTTACCAAAATTAGCAGATTGAGCAACACCAAGTAAACTTGTTACACAAGATCTTCCTCAGAAGTGTTTTTACTAAAAGAAACATGTGACTTATGAAAATTGACAGCTTGGCTAGAAAGGTACTCATAGGTATGTAGGCTTTATATTGCTTTACTTCCTGAGCATTGATTTTAAAGAAAAGTAAATTGTCTTCTGCGAAAAATAAGTGTGAGATCACAGGTGCTCATCTTGTTAGTTGTTACCCTAAAACCATGAATAGCTCCTGAATTCTGAACCTGTTGTAACAAAAATAAAGACATTTAGCACAAATGATAAACACATAAGGAGACAAGGGATCCCCTGTCTCAAACCACGTGAAGGGATCCCCTGTCTCAAAAAACATAATATAATTAATTTACTTTAAAAAACTAAACTTAAAATATTAATTGACATGGCATTTTACGTGAAATTCTACGTGGCAGGTGACTTAAAGGTAACATGCTATTATAGGTCAAATATGTTAATTGCACTATTTTAACTAATTTAAGGGTTTAATTGAAGGTTTTTTTTTTTTTTTTTTTTTTTTTTTTTTTTTTTTTTAGTTCAAGAGTCTAATTACACTTTAATATATAGTTAGGGTCTATTTGACCCTTATCCCTTTAATTAATTACCTTTGAATGAGTCAATCCCATCTCACTTTAAAATGAAATCAATTTATTAGTAGGTAAATACAAATAATAATAATAATAATAATAATAATAATAATAATAATAATAATAATAATAATAATAATTAAATATGAAAAGATAAAATTCGGATAAATATAGTACCACTCTTTTGAACTGACATATAAAAGTGTGATTTCTCAAAGTGTTAAAAAAAAAAAAGTGCAGGATAATATCATCATGGAGCTTGATACTCTAACATGTTTGAAGACTTATCTTATGTGGGTTTTATCATCAAGGAGTGTATGATTTTAATTCAAACTATATGTAGTATGTCAGTTCGTCATGTTTTGAGATGGTTAACCTTATAATTAATTCAAATTTTAGCGAATGACTTAACCTCTAAGTTTGGTTCGAGGGAATCTAATTGTATTTAAAATTAATGTGTTACTTATTAATCTATTTTTCTTTGTTTTTTTTTTTTAAAAAAGTAAAATGAAATAAATAAATAATTTCCAAATGGTCAGTCAAAAAGTAAAAAACAAAAAAGATACAGATTCCAAATAATTATTATTATGAAAAGGAAGAAAAATGGATTTCGTGTATACAAAACCAAGATTATTCTTAGAAGATATGGATGGAATAAAGTTGGTTATTCTGCAGAGGATTGGATTATATGCTTCTTTCTCACTCACAAAGTCACAAGTCAAAGCTGCTTTCCAAATATTTTATAGATTTTCTTTTACAAGCAAAACCAACAAGCTAAGTAAAAATATGATTAAATTTTTTAAAGGATACAGTGCAATCTTGTGCGGCGGCACTGTAAATTATACTCTGTAATAAAAATATTTGATATGATTTAAGATGTGAGTGATAAT